AGAGAAGAACCCCGAGAGGAAATCACAAACGAGAAGGCCGGAGATGAGAAGACGGCCAAGCAATGAGGAGTACATTAACTGTTGCCCGGTACTGGCAACATCACTTACATATGGTCACGTGGAGTTTGTGAGCGAAAACAAAAATTTCAGAACGCGCAATGTATTTGTACGAGTATTTGATTCTCTTGCGCGGGGTTGTGCGACAACCGGCCATACCGTCTTGAGGAGGCTCTGGCCCCTCTCTTTTTTGCTTTCACATTATTACTAGACCGATGGCCGACTCGCAGACCGGATAGGATACGTCAGAGCAAAGGCCTGAACATATTGAGAAGAATTCATAATCAGTAAAAAATTATTCTTAACGACCTGACTTGACCACATTCTTGATTCGCAGTCCATGATACAGGGGAAGTCATGAGCGAGTACTTGAGTTGCGAATGAAATAATCAGGACAGTAAACAAAACGAAACTACTTGGCAACTCCTGTAGATAAGGATGTAATGATCGAGATGGTAGCTTAGTGAACAACCCTTGAGGAGTGAAAGTCATCTCACTTTCGACAGCATTATCCCGCGACCCACGATGGTGATCGGTCGAGGCCTCATCAAGTAGACCTCTCGTGGTTGAATCTCACTGCATTGAATGATTTACCCCGTCACCTTGGGACATGGAAAGTGAGTTACGCGCCGGGAAATCCGAATGCCTGGACTCTGACTTTGTGCCCCCATAAGACACCAACAAACGAGCTATCAAAGGAGCCCTCCTCTGATACCGTTGAATAGCAAAAACCCCGGTTCGGATTTTTTGATAGGCACTCCTGCCGGTAAAAGAGATATGTTTGGCGGGCGGGCGTTTGGGAAGACTTGTTTGGTGGCGGTGCTCACTGGTTCTGGTATCCCATCACCTGCTAGCTGGCGTTGCTACATCCGCCTCCAGTCTTTCTTTTATTCTTGCTCTACTTCGAGATTGTTCACAGGCGGACACAAGGGACATGGAGTCGGATTATTAGATCATTCGTTACCCCCCCCCCCCCCTTAGAAAAGTACGGTACATATGTACTGATGCCATCCAGCAATTGATGGGATACATAAGGACTTGAACATCAAATCTTTCAGATACAAAGAGCCAAAAATGCAAGAGGCGGATTCGGGGTGTAAGCGCTGACGTTGGGAAGCACCGAATCCTTTTTTTTTTTTACCCTCTCTGTGTGGCGGTAAATCATGCCGCGCCCCCGTCCTGCATACTCTTGACGTCGTGCCTCTTTTATGCTTGAATGTATGGTACTTTACCGCCATCATCGATACTTAAAGAAAAAAAGGGTAGGTTGAACACGCGAGATAATGAAAAAGGACGGTAGGTAGGTAGCCTGCTATGCAGATACAGGTAGAGCAAACAATCCACCTTAACCCCCCCCATCTTGCCAAGCATCGATCCATTCTCAGTCATTCATTCGTATAGCAAATTCGCTTTTTAGCTGCCTCGTCAAATATGTTTCTGGGGTAGTAGTTACACACACACACAGGCAGGCTGCCTGATCAGCATTGAGTTTACTACTCGACCTTTGAGCAATTGTGGTTCGCGGGGGGTTTATGCACTTTGGCGCATGTAAGACGGAGGGGGGAACATGACAGTTGAGTCACCAGTGCTGCCTCTTGCAATCTTCACCGGCAAGGCATCGATGCCTCGCTGGATATCATACAGGCTACGGATACTTGGAGTTATACCTACCTTCGCACGATAGCTTGGCTAGACATCATCAGAGTAGTAGACTATCAACGTCGTTGAATTCTCGATAATTGCAATCCATTGATCAACTATCAAAAAAGAGGACCTTCTGTCTGGTGTTTCTGTCTCTAAGAGAACATCGGACATTTGGGTGCGCGCGCGTAAAACAAAGGGAAAAGCCTCTCTAGGGCCCTCTCTAGAGGTATTCTGACAAGAAAAAAGCATAAGACAAACCATACTGTGCGAAGTCGCGAGAGCCTCAAACGCCGGTTTTCGCCACATTCTTCCTGTTTCCCCCCCCCCCTTCAGCCGTGTTCCACCTCCCGTTTTCGAATTACAAGCCAAAAAGAAAGAAAGAAAAAAGGAGAAAACGAAAATGGAAAGAAAGGCTAGAATCGCAATCTGTGGTATCGAAAAAGAAAAAGGAAGCCTCGAGTTTGAGGTTTCAAGTTATGAATCGGTTGTTTCCGCGGTAAAGAAGAACCGCGGGACCCATGTTGGTTGCCATTTGGAGACTCAAAAAGGTCGAGATTAGGTATGGTGGGATGATTTGCGCAGACCGCAACTCAGGTACACTGACCGAAGTGGTGCTGTGTTGTGCTGTGGAGTAATAGGGAAAAAACCCCATTTATGCCTTACGCGCAGTGTCTGGCCAAAACGGAGAGGGGGGCGACGTGGCGATGGCCCGCAGCCACAAACCCCTAAGACTGGACTGAGGCGGGCAGTCAGTGACAGAGTGTAGGTCGTGGTACCAGGCTGTGCTGTTCGTTGACGCTTGCATTGCTGCTACCGGCAATAGTGCCGTTCCGTCTTGTGTGTTTTGGGGGGGGGGGCTTGTGCCGTTTCGTCGAATCAGGTACCGTGTATGGGCTTTCCTTTCCCCTTCTAAACCATTGATTGACATGTTGCCGCCTGAAGCGCTCTCGGATCACAGATGCAGATGTCTGAGATAGAGAGAAAGGGGGGGGTATCTGTAGGTAGAGACAATGAGCGGGCAAAAAGAAGCAATAGTGAGCATGAGAGCGATGGTGACAACTGCAAGAGAAGTTCCAGTCTCAGACCGAGTCTCTTGACTTTCTAGGCTTTCTCGGTCCCTTGGTCGGTTTGGCCGTCTCGGACTCAGTCTCGGGCTTGGCGATTTGCTGCATAGGCGGCGGCGGCTGCTTAGGGTTGACAACCTCAAAGACGTGTCTGCTCACGCACCCGCCGTCCGGGTTCACCTTGACGACCTGGTCCTCTGGCACCATTTCGTGCTCCAGCGGCCATCCGGCGCGGCGGCACAGCTCCGAGACAACGACGTCGCAGTCGCCCAGCAGGTCAATGTCAAAGTTGATGTGGTTGACGGCCTGGCGCGAGATGTAGATCTGGGGGATGTTGGCCGGCAGCCAGCTTACTATTTCGGACACCGGCGTCACCTTCAGACTCGTGCCGATGACGATGATGAGGTCCGCCTTGTCGCGGTCGTGCTCCGTCAGACGCCTGCTGAACTCATCGGGCAGCGCCTCGCCGAAGAAGGTGATGTCGGGCTTCATGACGCCCACGCTGGGGATGTCGTATTCGCCGTCGGACGTTGAGTCGTCGGAGCTGAACCTGCGGCGCTTTCTCTCGGTGCCCGTTGAGCGCTTGCGCTTGCTGCTGCCGTTGGGGCGAAGGTTCTGGATGCAGCGGGGGCAACGCGGGATCTTGCCAGCCTTGACGTCGTCGAAGATCTCTTCGCCGTCGCACTTGAAGCGGCACTGGACGCAGGTGGCGGTTGCAAAGGAGCCGTGACACTGGATGAGCTTGTCCCGAGAGATGCCTGCCTTGGCCTCAAGGTTGTCAATGTTCTGAGTGTAGTTGGTAAGCAGCTTGCCCTTCTTCTCGAGCATGGAGATGAAGGCATGAGTCGGTGTAAAGCGATTGGTCGACGGTAAAATGTCCTTGGCAACGGTATAGAAGATGGTCGGGTCTTGCTTAAAGACAGAAATATCAAACACCTCTTGCGGGTCGTTGAGACCCAGGTGCTCTAGTTGAGAGTAGAGACCGCCCTTTGAGCGGAAATCGGGAATGCCGAGCGAGGTAGAGATGCCCGCACCGGTGAGGACGATGATGTTCTTGCTACGCTGCAGCAGGTCCACGGCGTCGTCCACCGTGTTGAAGCGGAACAACTTGGCGCGTTTAGACAACTCTCGGCTGATGGCCAGCGACAAGAGGCTGAAGTAGGCCTCATCTTCGGCACCTTCAAGGAAGGCAGGAGGCTTGAGGCTAAAGGCCGACAGTAGCTTCTTGGCCGTGTAGCGCCCGGCATCGACGGTTCTTCTACAGAATTCTGCGGGACCAAGCGCTCTTAATTGGTGGCGCAGGCCCATGGCCTCGTCAGGCGTGCAGCTGTCAGGATCTTTTAGGCACGAGTTAGCAATCAAGTCATAGAAGCGATTGGTGGTGAGTAATAAGAGGAACACGTAATCCCAAGGCATAGCAAGGGATTTTGATGCTCGCCTGCATAGTGAAGGAGTGAGTGAATGACTGGGATAAACGTACCATCCGAAGAGAGTTTTGCGTCGCCCATCTCGGCGATGGCATCCTCCAGGAGAGAGTCGGTTTCCCATGCAGATTCTTTAGCGTCCCTGACGCGTTCTTCCAATTCCTGAAGACCGACGGCGTGCTTGATGTCATCAAGAGTTGGGTTCTCGGGGACCTCAAACTTATCCACCTTGTACGCGGCGTTCTTGTGTTTGTTGTTGTCGCGCTTCTTGACCGTGACGGCTTTTGTCGCCGCCCGTTTAGTCTTCATCTTGAGCTTCGTCTTGTTGACAACTGCTCTGTGCGGTTAGATGGGAAGGTGCGAGGGGATGACGGTTCGTTGACGAAACCTCCCTTCGCGAAGAATAGATGATAAGATGAAGCTTGAGAGTTGACAGAAACACCCAAGCTGAGTAAAGCAGGATCACTTAGCTAGGCGTACGTGTCTGCTTGTATGGATGGGGTGCGAGACTGCCGACCACCCGACAGGTTTATTTGTGAGACAAGGCGGATAATAGCCTGGACAAAGACTGGGCTGGTATGGGCTGGGTGAAGGGGAAATGAAGAGCGACAAGAGTTGGCTGCAGAAATGCGTAAGAGAGGGAAACGACACTTGGACCTCTTTTTCTCTCTGTTCCGCTCTTACCAAACTGTCTCGTTCGAGTCCAAATAGACCGATTGACGATTTGATGTAATTTGTGCGAAGAGAAGAGAGAAAGTAAAAAGTCGGGTGTGTCCGCGGATGGGTAAGAAGATTGACAAAGTTGCAGACGGTCGGGCCTCAGGGTGTGAGAAGGAGGGTTAAAAAAAAAAAAAAAAAAGGATGCCTTGGCTGCGAGTGAGGTTGAGTGTGGTGGCCGAGTTCCGCCTTTTTTTCGCTCGAAACTTGTCGGTTATCTCCCTGGGGTGGCGTGACGAATATGACACTGAGCCCTGGTCTTTGTTGAACAAGCAAGCAGGTAAGCAGCAGCAGCAGATGGGATCAGTTGCAATTCTGCGTGAAAAGCGGCGGCGGCGAAGAACCAACAAACGACTAGTCGAGTTGGTAAGACGGCAAGAGTTAACACCAAGTCAAGTGGAAGATGGAAGAAGTGGTGGGTGGACCGGAAGTTGGTTTCCCTTTGAGTCGCGTCTGATGGTAGGGAGACTGGGGGAGAAAGAGAGACTGAGTTGTAGAGTTGGGTTTGGGTTGGCGAGAAACCAGCCGGCCGAGACTGAACGGAAGCGACGGCCTGGAATTGATGGACGGACTTGTTCAGATTGGGTCCCCGGTCTCCGGATAGGGTGGGAAGGGGGAAAGGGAAAAAAGTGGAAGGGGAATGTGGGAAGGAGGTTGAGCAAAAGAAGGCGAGCTAACGTCGTCGTCGGTTCAAGTGTAGATAGAGTACCTCAATGACTACCTTTGGTGAGATAAAAGGGTAAGGTAAGGTAAGGTACCAGGCAGGGCAGAGATGGCAAGAGCAAGAGGGAGAGGAGAGAGGTGAGCAATCGAAAGGGAAGGAAGCTGGGCTAATGAGAAAAAATGGGCTAGCAAGTAATAGCACTTGTGTGTGTGTGTGTGTGTGTGTGTGCGTATATTCTGCACAGAGAAGGGGATATGAGTTCCGGAGGGAGAGAAGAAAGGGAAATCACGGAAGCGGGCGAACGAGATCTAGGCCCCCAAGAGACGATCGAGTAGGTAAATCAGTGGGTAAAAGGTATTCTGGTTGGAACGTGGCACTGAGAGTGAGTGACTAGATGACTGAGTGAGCGAGCGACCGGCCGAGTTACATGACAAAAGTAATTAAAAGATAAGAAAGTACAGATACGACGAACGAATGAGTACGACAACCTGCGCAGTCCAGCACCCAGAAAACCAAGCCAGGTAAAAACGGGAAGGGCAATCAAGAAGGTAACAAAGGTTGACCCGGGGGTCCGTCTTAGTAGACTAAGGTACATGAAAGCATGGAAGCGTAGTTTGGTAATACTCAGCTGAGGCAGATGCAGACGCAGGCGCAGACGCGAACACAAATCCAATAATGTCATGCTAACTAGCCATGCCTGCTCTGTAATCCGATCTGTCTTATTCCAATGTACTGCCTTCCAAGTTCCCTATGTTTCCATCGGCACGATGGAGCTGCACATTGGATTGATGGATGAGACGTAATAAACTATCAGCACAGCGCGCTGGCAAAAGTGTGTCAAGTTGGGGCAAGGTTAAGTTAGATACGTGAACTGGGCCAAGGCATCTATCTCTAGCGGCGAGCAAAAAGGTAAGGAATGTGAGGAGAACCTGAACACAATGTGCCAGTCAGGCACAGACAGATAGAATCCCACCTGGACTACTCCGAATCGCCCCTTGGATGAGATGCCCAAATACCTATCTGAGTGAGAGCGCAGGAACAGAAAGAGAGAAAGAGAGAAAGAGAGAAAGAGAGTGTGTGTGCGGGTGTGCGTGTACAGAGTACAATTCCGTCCAACCAAATCTAGTAACCAAACACACATCCATCATCCATCAGAAAGTTTCGGAACCTGGCTCCAAATGAAACTCGGCCATCCTCTAAAATGGTCTCCCGCTTATCAGCATCGATGGAAAGATTCTCTACCGGATCTGTCACGCTTGATGCCATCTCGGGTTTCCCCTCCCCTCCCTCCCCCTTGCGGCGACGTCTCTCGCTCTTGTCCTTGTTGTGATATAATGATTACCTTGATTACCTGGGCCTAACGTCCGACCGGGGTGGTGGTAGACTGGTGACTGGGGTCCAAGACACACACACACACTCACACGTACACGAGTCCAAGTCTCCAATCAGATGGATCCGTCATGCTCACCGTACCTACTGTACCCGCCACCCTTCCGAATATACCTCTCTCTCCATTGATCCCATCGGCGACAATCGCTGTCATCATCTCATGGAAGAAATCGTTAAATTGCATCACCTTACGATTGTATTGACAATTCCTTAACAATCGCATCAACTGCGGAGGACTGCTCTCATCAAGAAGAGCATGTTTTGGAGTTTCTATCGTGTTGCTCCGTTCCAGGCGATTCTCTGACTTTGCTGTGACCTTGGCTTGAACTTGTTTGATCCGAGCGAGTGACGCTCCCAGGATGATTAACCCCCCCCCTGGCGTCAAGAAATGTACTCACCCCCTTATCTAACCTTGCCGAACTCCATCACAATGGGCAATCGTCTCAATCGAGCAAAAAAACAACAACACCAAATAGTGCAGACCAGGTGCTTCACCGACCAGGTCTCTGAACAATATATCCCTTTAAGAAAGCAAATGATCTCTCTCTTTCTCTCGTGTGATGGAACCATATTCCCAAACACGACTTTACCAACTTGCATTCAAAGAAAAACCATCCGAAACCTCTACATCCAAGGAGAACCGTGGCTCGGCCCACCACCACCCAAATATGCAACGACAATCATATGCCGCAGCAGTACCTATTTTCTCTGAACGGCGGGTAAACGAGTTTTAGAGCCTGCGCAATTTTGTATGCCCTACTTCACCTCAGCTCTCTCAAAGGAAGGAAACCCAACTCTGTTCCTGTTTTTTGGGAGAGGAGGGGACTCCGTCCTACATGTGACCGACCGGCGCGGTTCGGTCGGTCGCCCACCACCACCACCCGGCTGGTTGCGTTACCAGAACAAACACTAATTAACCAATCCAACCCGATGCCAGCCAGTGTGCTGGACACCTCCTGCTCATCCTTCTGTTGGACGGTAAACAGCCCTTATTAGATGCCACTGGGCGGTAGACCTGAATGTGTTACACTTGTCTGAAAAGTGAATCGAATGGCCATGAGGGATCTGCGGATCATCGGGAACGTGATGTTGCTCTGAACCACTTCACGGCCGTATGGTCTTGAGCCTTATACCTTTCATCTTTAATTTCATTGCCATGTTCACCGCAGAGAGAGTTTGCGTTTGTTCGAACTTATCGAAACAATCCAACTCCTACCCAGTAGGTAGAGGAGCATAGAAATGCAGACTGATGGCGAACCATTAAGAAATGGTCGCCGACTCTCGACATGGATTTTGCGTAACTAGACGCCTCCGGGCGGGGACCGCAGGTATCACTCATCCGCAAATCATCGCATCATGGACCTCCCCTTTCATGAAACATATCCGTTCCTCTCCCAAAACACACCATTCATTCAAATAAAGTGCCGTATATCATGCTGCTCCAAATGATCAACTGGCAATGGGTGTCCATGTCCTATTGCCTAGAGCGAATCTTGCTGTTGAAAGTCGACCCCGGGGTTCCACCGTTATTGACTTGCTTCTGTCCTTGGCGGACAGACATCGCCGGCAAGTCTACCACTTTTGTTCGTCATGTGCCCACGCCAATAAATCTGTTCAGTCCACGCAACTAACAAAATCTTGACTTTGCGGGGGAACTCGGCCCACAAACACTAATTCCGTTTTTTTGCTTTCGGTTTTGCTATCGCGCAATCCGTAACCCTCTTGAGTCGTGACAATTCCCTCATCTAACTCTATGCACTCAGTCACTTCTCTCCCGTTCACTTACTGCTCTCAATTGGCATATATGGATATCAACTTGGAATCATTTGGCATTCTTCCTCTTCAAACCGTTACGGTCCCTCAACGCCCCCGAAAAAGTACAACTCTACCAAGTCTCAACTCATGTGTGTGTATCATGTAAACAACTCTGGGATGCCCTGACTGCAACCAAAGCTGTGCTATTTCCAGAGAACCCCCCCCCCCCCCCCCCCCCTAAATCAGACTCTCGTACTTATCCAACCCGCTCTTTTGCGGTGGCTTCTGCTGCTGCTGCTGCTGCTGTTGCTGTTGCTGAAGGCCAGCCATACCGTTCATGCCCATGCTGCTATTCATCATACTGTTCATGCTGCCACTAGACCCCATGCTCATACCCATACCAGGCCGCGAGCCCATGCTGTTCAGACCGTTCATCGGTTGTTGACTCATCATGCCCATGCCGGTGCTAGCTGCGGGTTTGCTGAAAGCGCTCAAGCCTGATTGCACAGGCGGCGTGTGACTGGGAGGCGGTGGTAGGCTAAACCCGGAAGATCCGGAAAAGCCCGTCGAAGTACCGGCTGGTGGTGGCGGCAAGGAAAACGAAGAAGACTGCGACATGCCTGGTCTCTGCCCACCGAGCGACATGTTGGACATGGGCGTGCTCATTCCCCCAAAAGCGGAGCTCGGAGGTGGCGACATGGAGTTACCGGCCGAGAAGGCCGGCGTCGGTGTTGACGACGACGACGACCACGGGTTGGACGTTGCCGCCGACGCTGTTGACCAGTTGATAGATGAACTGGGCTGTGCCGCTGGCTGCGACATTTGCGTAGTTGGCTGTAGCGGTTTAGAGAACTGAGTCGATGTTGGAGTCATGGTTTGGAAAGAACCCATGTCCGGCGTCACCGTCCGGAAACTAGGTTGAGGTTTAGGCGCCGGAGGTGGTGCGGTCTGGGTAGGACTCGGAGTTGACCAAGCAAAGGCCGGAGTTGCTGACCTACTCCCGGGCGCGGGCGAGGTGACTCTGGCCGCCGCCGCGGGGGTTTCTTCCCAGCTAGAGAATGCATCCGAAGTTGACGTTCGTGTTGTTTTGCCTTTGACGAGACTCTCGAAATCGTCTTCTGTGCCCCCATTGGATGCGTCAAAAGAGGTCCCGCTGACGCCGCCAAAGGCCATGAAATCTTCATTAGTCCCGGCTGTGCTGCCGTTGGTACCAGAGAGCTCTTGCAACTTTTTAGTCTGTTCGTCTTCCACCCTTTTGGATAACTTCTTGATGAGGTCCATGAAGTTCTGGAACTGCTTGAGGTTAAGTAAAGGTCCAAGACTCATATGCCACAGAATGGGGAGAATATCAATCGCCACAAACTCGGCATCCGCTGCTTCACCCACAACCCGGAGGACACCGTGGGCTGCCATCATGACCGCAGGCTCTTTTGTTTTGATGGCCTTGATCAACGGGATAATCTTCTCCTGCATCGTGTATTTATCCAGCATGCTGGAGGAGGAAGTTGATTTCTTCTTTGAAGTACCGAAAGCATCGAGGCCATCGTCTTCTGCGTCTAATGTTCCGCCACACAGGACGACGAATGCTTGACAACCGCGCACTTTGATGGCCAAACTGCTCGTTTTGCTAAACACGGCCGCAATGACTGGGAATAGCTCATTCTTGATGGTGCTAAAGTCGAGAACTGGCAGAATAGATGGTAGACCTCTCAGAGCCGCGTCAACAACGGCCGGTGTTGGTGCTTCGATTGCGGCGTAGACGACGGGCAATATGTCTATATGGTTGTTAGCATGTTCCACCAAACGCATTCATTCATGTTGATGTATTTCTTACCATCAGTAAACTCCTTGCCATTACAATTGTTGCAGATTGTTGACATGTGTTCAAGCACAACCATCAACCCAGCATCCTTGGTCGGGTCCCTCTCAGGGGCCTGGTCCTTCTTGGGAGGTGGGGCAAATGTTGCTTTCAATGCTGGTCGTACTTTTTCAGCAAAGACCCTCCTCGCAGAAGGCAGTAAATCAACGATGGTGAAGACATTTTGAAGAATCAACGCTATTAGATCCTTGTCTTTCATCTCTTCAAGCAACGCTGGTAACAACTTCTTCTCCATGACAGTCTTGGGGAACGACGGCATGACCTTGACTAATCCTCTCATGAACTGAGCTTTCTCGTTTGGTGTCTTTGCTGGGAAAGCGTCCAGGAACCTGATTGTTGAAACAAGCACGTTGTTGAAGTATTCACTTTCTTGGAATTCCTTTGCTGTGAGACGCTGAGCAGGTCGCCGTGTTATCAGGCGCGGTAAGACATGTTGAACCAGCTCTTTGGGTAAAGGCCGTGATGATAAGAATTGGTTAGTAGCAGACGGGACTGTCGATGACGAGGCAAAAGTCCTCTTGTATGTCGATAAGCTGCCGTGAGCTTCTATGGGTGACTGATGTGGTGAGTTGTAAAGGGCCACCGCTAGGAGACCTAACGAGAACATGTCGGCAAAGCTGGTGAAGTTGTTGTCAATGACAAAGTCAGGAGAGGTGTAGTCGAGGTTCAGCTGCACAAATCGAGGTAGCCGAGGGTCTGGGTTGAGCACTTCTGACAGGCTGATGGGTTGAAAAGAGGTCGGTTTATTGGACCCTTCGGACGGCGCGCAGAAGGCGAGACCACTGATTTTCCAATCGGACTGTTTCGAGTTAGCAACAGTGTAAAGGCTATCAAGACCGATCCGCTGAACTGACCTTGGCGTTCACAACAATGGCATCTGGTGTCAAGTTTCCGTGTACCAGCCCAGCGTTTTCGTGCAAGAACTCCAGCGCTTTGCTGATCTGCAAGAGACCCTTCTGGATCTCGAGCTCGTCAATCTCCAACTCGCGCCGCCGGCGCACACCATCCGAGTCCTCGGTGACATAACGGCTCGACCGGCCGCCGACCCCACCACTCCGCTCCTGGTCGTCTTTCTCTTGCAGCAGAGCCGCCAGGGAGCCTGTGACAGCTTCTGTGACGAATTGTAGCCCACCGCCTCTTGTTTCTTCCACTGGCTCGACAAGCTCGAGAACACTAGGGTGTCGCAGCTTCGCCAAGCTGGAGGCCTCCTTCTTCAGGCGCTCGATGACCTCCTCCGTGGCTCGCTTGAAGGCGGACGCGCTCGATCTGCCGAGGCTGCTGCCATGGTTGTCGAGTCCCTTCTTGTCAAAGACAAATACGCTGTATGGTTTCCCCGTAGACTTCTTCTTGCAATCGTAAATCTTCCATGGGCCGGCGGACGACGTCTGGGTCGAGGAGATGGAGTAGTTCGCGGTGATGTTGGTCGATGATATCGACTTGAGTGCCGAGGAGAACATGGTTGTGGTGTGTCTTATAACGTGGGTCGTCTATCTCGTCGTCAAGGCGGAGGGAACGGAACTTGAGAAGACTCGATCGTCATGACGGTTCGGAGGCAGATATGGGGTTTGCGACAAGTCGGGACTGTCGTCAAGTCAATCGCGCCCCACCCAGAGGGAGAAAGGTAGTCTTTGTCCACGAGCGATGTGGGTGGTGCAGGGTACCGTGGAGGGGACAGTTTGTAAATGTCGAGAGGGTCCTCCTGCGAGGCTTTATCGAGGAAGCTTCCGGAGATGCGCCGGGACCTTGTTTGGACTTGAATTTCAACAAAAGACAACAAACGCAGGGCGCAGTCACATAAAATTGGCAAGTTGGCCCAAAAGATGATGTTCTCGTTCAGCCGCGTCGACTTCCACGTCGCTGATAGGCAAGAGCGTCTCAAGTCCAATCAAAACGACCATCCATGCTTTTTAGATGATCCCACAGTTGCCAGTGCCACCCCTGCGTTTAAGGCTCGGCTTCAAATAAGTTGGGCACACCTTCTACCTGAGGTGAGCTTGGGGGTGCCATGCTGAACCAATAGCTGACCTAAGCTATGTCTTTGGGGATAGGACAGCTTGGCTCTACCTTGCCTTACATCATCTTCAGTGCTCCACTGCTGGACATCAGTACCTGAGTGGTACGTACTGCATGCTGACCATGCACTGCTGCACCTGCTGCACCTCAGATAGCGGGACGCTTCCGGAGCCGGGACCCTGAACGACAATTTTGGATCTCTGGATCTGGCGGCGCATGGAAAGCAACGGCTTAGAAGTCCGATAACGCTCCGAAATCCTGACTCTCGCCGCACCTTACACGCCATCCTCAAATTGCGCCCTTCGCCCTACTACACTTGTCCGTCCTTTATCAAGCATTGGATTGGTCAATTGGATTCACCGTTGACCGCAATTGAGGTTTGGTATCTTGGGTTCACTTGAAAAAGAGTCACTCGCTCTCCATCTCTTGGTATTTATCTGAGCATCTTTGTTCCTGTGTTTTAGGTTTTGAGAAAATCCTCAACCTCCTTTTTTTCTTTTCTGCTTTATACCCACCCAAAACACCAAACAGGCCGATCGCCATGATGCGACAGTTCTTCCCCCGCGCCGTCGGCGCTCTCAGGGTCCCCCGCAGCTCTCCCAGATTAGCCACCGCATGGCAATCAGCAAGACTCTACAGCGTCAAGCCCGCCGCCGCCTCCGCGGCCAAGCCTCTGGGTCTCGATGCCTCAAAACTCACCATTGAGAAGACAAAGACCCCCGGAACGCTGGGCAACCCCGAGGAGCTCGTCTTCGGCCGCAAGTTCACCGGTCAGTCAAACTGCCCTGCCCTCGCCTCCTGGGCCTCCATCACTCGATTTTGCAATTGCTAACCGTCCCACCACAGACCACATGCTCACCATTGAGTGGAACCAAGAACAGGGCTGGCTCGATCCCAAGATCGTCCCCTACCAGAACCTCTCTCTCGACCCCGCGACCTGCGTCTTCCACTACGCCTTTGAGTGCTTCGAGGGCATGAAGGCCTACAAGGACAAGTCCGGCCAGGTCAGGCTCTTCCGCCCGGACAAGAACATGGCCCGCCTCAACAAGTCCGCCGCCCGCATCGCCCTGCCCACTTTCGAGCCCACCTCCCTCATCGAGCTCATCTCCAAATTCGTCAACCTCGACAAGCACTACATCCCCGACGAGCGCGGCTACTCCCTCTACCTCCGCCCGACCATGATCGGCACCCAAAAGACCCTCGGCGTCGGTCCCCCCGGCTCCGCCCTCCTCTACGTCATCGCCTCTCCCGTCGGACCCTACTACCCCACCGGCTTCAAGGCCGTCTCCCTCGAGGCCACCGATTATGCCGTCCGCGCCTGGCCCGGCGGCGTCGGCGACAAGAAGCTCGGCGCAAACTACGCCCCGTGCATCGTTCCCCAGCTCGAGGCCGCCAGCCGCGGTCACCAGCAGAACCTGTGGCTCTTTGGCGAGGAGGAGTACGTCACGGAGGTCGGCACCATGAACATGTTCGCCGCCATCAAGAACAAGGAGACGGGCCAAAAGGAGCTCGTCACCGCCCCTCTCGACGGCACCATCCTCGAGGGCGTCACGCGTGATTCCGTCCTGTCCCTCGCCCGCGAGAGACTCGTGCCCGAGGGCTGGATGGTCTCGGAGCGCAAGTACACCATGAAGGAGCTCGACGAGGCGGCCGAGGAGGGCCGCCTCATTGAGGCCTTTGGCGCCGGTACCGCTGCCATTGTCAGCCCTATCCGCACCATTGCCTGGAAGGGCAAGTCTATCAACTGCGGTCTCACCGAGGCCGAGGAGTCTGGCGAGATCACCCTGAGAATCAAGGGCTGGATGGAGGCGAGACAGTACGGTGATGAGGAGCACGAGTGGAGCTACATTGCTCCCGATGTTGCTGCATAAATTTGGTTGTCAGAACGGTATGTAGACTTGTAAATATCCAAACGGAAAGCGTTCAATATGAATGTTCAAAGAAAGCAGTTTTTCAATTCTGATAGTGAGTGGGTCCTGGCATCGGCGATAACCCACAATCCCCCTTCTATGACTGATAGGATGTGTTCCTTGATTTACATAAATTCGTGGTGAAATGACAGCAAAAGGTTCGATAAGAACAAGTAGCTTACCAGACGAAGTACTTCATCAACATCCTCAACTTTCACTTGCTAGAGCTCCGTTGGCGCCACTCGATGTCTTCCTCACGATACACACTCTGAGATATCAAATCCAAAAGATCCAAGCTGGTGTCACGAAGCTCCGTATCCCTATGCCATACATCATCAAAAACAAATCTAGTCATTGCAGAAGGCTCACGAAGATCCGAAAGGCCCTCACAGAGTTATAGTAAAAAAGGGCGGGGAAAAAAAGGAAAGCTAGTTCAAGGGCAGGTCATATACACTTTTTCGGGGGGGGGGGGGGAGAAGAAAAGACACCATTGCCGTGAGAGTATCGGCAACGAGCTTGCTTTCCCCTTCGGGAGAATTTCTTTCTCTCTCTCACTCTCTGTTTCTCCGCTCCATCCTCGCGGCTCGATTTCTTTGTGTCTTCCGTTGCGTCCCTTTCTAAGGTAATATTCTCCAAAACCAAGCTCCAGATAAAGAAAAAGTGATTCGGTGGGTTTGTCCGTCGAATACCGCGGTGTTCGTGATCAGTAGTCGCAGAAATTGGCTTTTCCCTGTTCACTTCTCGGGGTCCGGCAGAATGCCCTCCTTTTCTAATCTCCGCCTGGCCTCCTCAAGGGCCCAGGTATCGAGTCTGTAGTGTGGGCGGGTAACGTTAGCCGCCGATCAATCACCTCTGATATCTAAATTGCCTCATCCCGGCCCAACCGACTTTGAATGCACCCCAGGTTTTACACTGGTCTCTTTGAGGTGCCATTCGATACATTCCATATCGAAGGGACAAATGAGGCGGAAAGTAAGGGCCACTCACGAAGTATCAGGCTTGAAGGCAAGGACAACACCAGTGGTGATGATGCCTCCGCAGAACAGGGTGTAGAAAGGCGTCTCCCAGCCCTCCTTCTCGTACTTCTCGCCGGGCTTGACGCCCCAGAGCCAGCCGGAAGGAGGATCAAAGTCGGATCCACCACCAGCGCGGCGGGCCGTCACGGAGAAAGCCCTCGTGGTCGGGGCGGCGGCGGCAGAGGTCTTGATGGCGCGGGCGGCACGGATGGCCGCGGTCGGTCGTATCGCCGTCATCGTCGGGTCCGGAGAGAGAGGTAGTTTGTTTCGAGATTGGGTCGAGTGGAGGCGGGACGTCTCAATTGACGTCTTTTCGGTGATGGGTGAGGGGCGGATTGGGGGTAAGTTCGCGGGCGCGCGGTACTTCGGCTGTTGAGTCGTTTGGCACTCACGGGTGAGGTTGTTGGATTGGAGTTGGATTCTCGGACCCATGTCGGGATTGTTAGTCATCGATAGTCACGTGCACGTTGCCGACTCCACCCGATCCGCGGCCGCTCTGAGCAGCTGAACCCCCGGCAAGTGCTTGCCTCTTTCGTCATTCAACGGGATGATCCTGAACACTGACGGAAGCATTTGATGGCGTGAAGGGGTTCCGTAGCTTGTGTTGCTCTGATCTTCAGTTGTGTCAGAGGCCCTTCGTTAAGATCAAGTTTCTAGACTGTTGTTACCTCTCAGCTACCCTTTAATTGGTGGACAGCTCTTATGCGACTGCCTGTCACTCGGGAACAATAATTTGCAGTCTTGTCATTTTATCACCAAATCAAATGAAATGCCATCAATGAGTTGACAAGTGATTCTCTTCTTTGTGATGAACCTGCTCGACGTCCTGAATTTCCGTCTTTATAGTCCAATCAACTAACGCCTTACACCTCATAATCCTGAACCCATTGCCGATACTCCAAACCGTGCGATATCCTCAATAAGCACCGTTCGTCATATCATTAAGTATATCCCTGAGAATGACTTTATCCTTCATAAGTACCTTCTCTCCAATTCTCGCCCGCTTAGGCTCCGGTCGAACGTTCTCTTTCCCCAAGGCCAGCTTTGGGGCCTTTCGTGGACTGATGCCCTTTCTCGGGCTGATGTTCTTCTTCGCCTTCATCGGAGACACACCGCTGGCCGTCAACTGTGTCGCTGTGTCGTCAAAAAAGTGACTGTCCAATGCGTCAGGCGGGAGGTCGTAGATCCAATCTTTCTCTTCCATAAGGCCTATAAACTTGCTGAGCATCTCATCCTTTCCGCTGCCCTTCAAGGTGCTCTTGCTTCCAACTACGAGCAGTTTGGTTTTGGCGCGAGTGAATGCAACGTTGATACGTCGCCAATCCTTCAACAGTTCGCCGATGCTGCAGCTCTCATTACTTCGAACCAAGGAGAGAATAACGACATCCTTGTCTCGCCCTTGGAATCGGTCGGCCGTGTGCATCTCCACGCCCACATGCCCACGAAGGCCATGCTTAAGCAAAGATAGTTGGGAGCGGTAGTGCGTCATCACTCCGATCTCCGCGTCTGGTACACCTACTGTAAGGAGACCCTCGACAAGTTGAAGTACGATGCGTGCTTCGGCTGGGTTGACAATCCGATTGCCCTTCGCCTCTTCTCTCGTTAGAGGCTGAATGGTATCAGTGTTGACAAACCTTACTCGAGCTTCGCTGTCCAGCAAATCTCGCAGCCAGCAGCAGCGTTGGTTGATGGAGGTGCACACAGACTTCGGAGTCCCTGGTCTGAGCATCGATGCCGAGTCGTGATGAAGGCTCTTCAGCGCAGCCATGTTCGGCACGTCGAGTTTCTTGGAACGTAGCTCCTCAGTGCCGCACCGCAATCTTCCTTTGTAGATCAAAGTATTGCTGAGGGTCATAATGTCCTCGCACATACGGTATTGATGCTCCAAGTTGACCACCGAGTCTGGGTGCGTATCGGAGAGAAGCTTGAACAAGCTCACGTCGAGCCCGCCTTCTCGAGCCTCTTCGTTTTGGACTAGAGGAGGAAGCTGATTGTGGTCACCAACAAGTACAAAAGTCTTCGCCATCCTGATCGGTCCCAGACAAATGGGCAGCGTGATCTGTGAAGCCTCATCGACAATGCAGTAGTCGAAAGTGCGTTCGTTGAAGAGAGCGTGGCCAACGCCGAGACAAGTTGTGGCAACGATGGGTGTGTCGTGCCATGCCTCCTTGATCTGCTCAAAGGAGTTCATAGGCTGACCAGCCAGGATGGCAAATTGCTGGACCTCCGGGTGAACCTTGGCGGGAGCGCCGAGTCTGAGGACCGGTGTCTGGTCGCTCTTCAGCTTCAAGAGAATGTTGTCGACTGCAGTGTGCGTGTAAGAAGTAAGAAGGACGCTCTTCCCCTGAGAGACCAAAGCTCGAATGATGTGTGCAATAGTTGTCGTTTTTCCTGTGCCAGGCATGCCAAGAACTAGTGCATAGTCTTGGGCACTCATCACCTTCTCGATCGCTCGGTGCTGGTCAACGTTCAGAGATTCTCGATCGGCTACGACGTATTGCGTAGGTGCTGCCTTGAACCTCGGCGGTACTAAATCTACCACAGCGCGGCGGATCTCTCGGGACCCGAAGACGCCTTCCGCCATTGTCTGTACAAGGTTGTTCCGGACTGTGGCCATGCCATTGCTGAACTCGTCCTTATCAAGGCGATAGCGGATAGGCGCTTCCTTGATCTTTCCCTGAGATTGATCTGCGGTGCATCCCTCGGGCACGACCTCCATAATGCTAGCAAAAACCTGGTTGTCATTCTCATCGAACCCAGGCTGCTTGATGCGGGCATTGTGTAGGCGCCGGTCGACGGCCACGCTGATTCTCTGTTTTCGAACAGAAGTAACGTAGCCCAAGGCGAGAGCAAAGTGGCCCTGTTCATCCGAAACAACTATAGGCTCACCGACATTCAACTGTGACTCTAGGAAAGAATGGCCTGGAGCCGAAACTCGCTTGACGAAGGTGTAGTTAAATCGGTTGATCTTGGAAGTGCCCAAGTCCTCAGACGTTGAGCCCTCTTGAATGATGACGTCGGAATGGCATCTTCCCACTTTCTCCCGGTCCTTGCTGACCATCGTCCAGAGCTCTCTCTTCAGCTTTTGGGTCTCTTTCTCCTCTTTCGTCAACAGATTCTCCCATTTGAGGAAGAACTTTTGGTGCTTTGGCGTAAGGTGCTTGACAACTTCGTCGAATTGCTTATCCATGCCGCTCGTCTCCCCATCTCCGTCGTCGGCGAGCTTGTGGTAAATGAAGCAAGACGTCTTCGCGTAGCACTTTCCACACATGTTCTTGCTCCTCTTCATAGGAGGCAGCTGAACGCTCCGCTCTCGAATGTGACATGCTAGCTGATTTCGCTGCATGATCATGTGGCGTAGCTCGTGTCGAATGGTAGGAATGCGCATTGTTTGTGACGTTTCCATGTAGTAGAGAATGCCATACACAATGTTCAAGTCGTATCGATCGGAAAGCAACAGGTTATAGAGCGCAGTCTGCGCCATGTGATTGCTGTTGGCATGTTTGCCCGTTTTGACTTCGAATGGGACGGTCAGCGTTTTGGTATCCTTGCCATCCTTCAAGGTGACTTGAACGGTAGCATCGATGTTGCCCTTCAGTCCGTACATGGGTGACCAAACATGTTCCTCAACATCGAGCAGTTTGCTGACGCACATATTGGCTTTCTTGCCATTGCGGTCGAGAACAACAGCATCGAGCTTTTACCAATATTAGTGACCATCAGAAGAGAGGGAACGGCATGACATACATTCGGCTGAGAGGCTACAAAAGCCGCGGCCCAGCAGCTCAACTCCGTCATTTTCGACTGGAGATGTTCCCTGGCAATGCTGGTGCTGACTTTGATTTTGTACAAGTCCTCAATGTGCTTCTCCATGACTCTGTCAATGACACCACTGAGGTACCGAAGATCCCATTGGTTCGCCATGAGAGCTTCTTGGAAGATTTCGTGCAACATCGTCCCGTACACCAAGGGAGCAGTAGCTTCGCTGGTCGCTTTGACACGGTCCTGTAACACTGCTCGGCGCATACAGCTGAATGAATCAGCGACGACAGTGGCTGATACCAACTGATCTGGGTGTAGGACCAAGATATTGTGCGAATCGTCAATGATGCATTGGCCACTGGCTGAGAATGTTCCGATAACATGCACGTATGCCTTTGCGTGTGCCGGCGTCTCGAACCAGTCACCTCGAAGGTGGATCGTTTTCATAGCCTTGCTACCTTCCGCTTGTACGATGAGAATCTGGAGAGAGGTTAGCGATTGCGGTTGGATCGATTTGGTCCACCTACCTTCTCTAATCGAGAAAGCCCGCGCTCGTCAATGTATTCATTTTCTAGGACATTGGTCACCAGATATCGCTGGATAGCTTTGGGCTTCTGGTTTATCTACCTTCATCTTAGCGTTTGCTACCGTGGTAGTCGTTGATCGGAACGTACAGCTGTCGTCGGCGAGGCTTGTGGCTGCTGGACAGATTGAGTCGCAGCGAGCTCTGCTGCATCGAAGTCGAAGTCGCCTCCAAAATCGTCCCCAAATGCATCCTCCAAGTCGTCTTGTCTAGGGACAGGTACGCTTGTTGCGTCAAGATGCGGTTTTGCAGACGCCGGTAATTGGGATGCCGTCGCTACTGCGCTTTCCAGGATATCCTCGGCAGCCTCGAAAATGTCATCATCCAAGTCACCGAACTCATCGTCTAAACCAGTGCTGCTTTGCTTGCTGGGGTGCACAGTAACAGGTGCGGGAGTAGGAGTGCTTGGCCTCGCTTCTTGTTTGGAGTTTGATAGACTGATGCTCGCTTCAAGCTCGAGGAAGGTGTCGTCATCAAAGTCGTCAAAGTCGTCGAAGTCAACGTCGCCGTAGTCAGACTCCGCCGATGTCGCTTTCGTCTGCTGGTCCAGCCCTAAATCCTGGGCCACACCGATATCACAAGTATTTCCTGCAGGTTGTAGGTTCGGAGCTCGGGTTGTTTTTCTCGAAGGTGAGAGCGATGGCGGCCTCGATGGGTTGGTCTTCCTCTTCTTAAGAGATGGGGACTCCATGTCCTGGTCGATGAACGGATCGAAATCCTCCGGTGGGCTATCTTCTTGCATGCTTCCAGTAACAGTGTCCAATAGAGCTGTAACGAGTGAATTCTTTGAACTGTCGGTCGTCTCCCGCGTTAATGTGCTGGTAAATGACGGCGCATCCGAGCGTTCAACTCTTCTTCTCTTGGGCCAGTTGAGACCGCAGCTGATTGCTCTTCGCAGACTGCTGTCGCCTGCCTGTACAGTTGCCGTCTTGACGTTCCGTGGTGACGAAGAGAACATGAGGTTGGCGAGCGTGGGGTTCGTAAGACCGAGTGGCGTAACGTTTCCATTGCTGGTAAGGGAGAATCGGTCCCAGAGTTCCAAGGTTGGGTCTGCATGCGGTGATTTCAGTGCCTCACTCAGCTTCTTCACATTGACGGCCGGTGTGGTAGGCTTTTCGTTTTGTGCGGGGGACGATATGGGCGACGAGCTCCTCGCCCGTTTACGGCCTTTCCTATGCATCATTGGCGAGAGAGCGGCAGCGTAGTTCAGATCGTTCTTATCCCTCTCATTGTTCCACAAGATTCGTTCAGTAGGTGATGTTTGTGTCTTTTCTTCCTTGGGAGCGTTCGATGCCATCAGGTCGTGCCAGCTCAGCTTCGTCGATGGGGTGATGGCGATATCGTCTCGGGATTGGCGAACCCCATCTTCCGTTGCGGTGCCATTTTCCTGCTGAGCAATCTCTGTCTTGACTGCAGTCTGGAATTGGAATTGATTCAGTTTGCTCTTCGTTTTATCGGAGACGGGCGCCAACGGTCGAGACGTCTGGGCATTCACTGGATTGCTCTTCGAACGTTGCCACGAGCGGTTCTATAACAAAGTCAGCAGACATGATGGTATGGAGGGGTATGTTTTTCGATTGACCTTTGACGGGAGACCAACATGTTCCGAGTTTGACTTCTTGAGAGGCATATCGGCGGGTTTGGCTTCTCGAATGCCAAAAACAAGAGATGGTGAACTTCTTCGCTAGTTCCAATCATGTCAGTGCAAGGGTGTGAAGAGGCAGTTGGGGCCCCTCGAGGAAGTGTTAGAGTGGTCGTCCCTCGACGCGCTCGGGACGCGCTCTAGCTCCACGTTTGTTTAATACGCGTCGCTGCACGTTCCTGGTAATATGTGGGGCACTTTGGGAAATGGTGGACGCGCAGGGTGATCGCCCCTGCAACGAACAAGTCCATTTCTGCCCACATCGACTTGTCACCTGAGCAAGCGCAATTGCGATCACTGCGGGATGTCTTGCATTCGCACATTGTGTGGAGTGGCGGGCAATGTCCCTGTCCGTGTATTCGTACCTGAACTTTTACAGTCGTAAATGTCTCCAGTAGTACCCTGACTGACCTCAGGTACTTACTTTCCTGAGGAACTCATTCATACCCATTTTACATACATGTGAGATTGACTTAAGAGCCAGATACGTGACACTTTTAGGTACCTTAGAGTACGAACTACCTATCTTAGCATGCATGCATCTCTTTACCCGACCATGGTGAATCAATTGCAGAGACGGCTTGACCACCGTCTATCCGTTTTATCCTGAAGGTCTATGTCTCTCGCTAAATACTGTAAGCATTGACTGTTTTGATGTCCCTCTCCGCTTCATCAATAGAGATGATCAGATGAGAAGAGGAATGCTCAGTTGCTGAACTTCGCGATCCATCGGCGACACGGAAACGGTGGTGCAGCGCGTGCCCCGGCGTCCCGAAGTCGACATGGAGAAACTCTCTGCCGATAGCCCGGGAAGTTCGGGGTGTTGTCTCCACTCTGCCGATGCAGGTGGGGATCCACTAGAGCTCCAACTGCCCACCTGAGAGCTCTGTCCGACTACGTCAGGACTCTGAAGAACATCAACATGTGAGCAGTCTCTAGGAGATTGAACAGACCATACCGCCACGAACCACAGCAATTGGCCTGACGCCGACTCAGACAATCCTCTCTCTTTGGCCTCTCATAGCTTTACCTCCCTCATACCTGTCAGGTCAATTGAGACCTGGCAGTGAAGCCGTTGAGATGACGTTCCCCACCTCAAGCGACGACAATGGCTTCGGCCCAGACGTCGTCGGGCCTCCCGACTATCAGATCCCACAACCGCAGCTCACACTCCTTCAGCGCCTTCTCTTCCGCAATGGGGAGAACTACTCTAACAATGTGAAAAAGATGCTCGACACCGCTGCCGTAGGCTTGGGCCGCCAACCCACCCAGGATGAGGTCAACATCCTCAGCCAACTAGCTTACAAAGAAGCCGCAACCACAGCCTGGGCTGTCCCCGTCTCCGTCGCGTTAGGCGGGTTCTTGACCTGGAAAACCCGCGGCACCTACCGCTTCCCCTTTTGGCAACCCAAATTTATCAAATTCACTCCCGATGCCTTTCCAAGTGCCTCTAGGCCCATTCTCCAAGGTCGTCGCGCGAACCGGATGTGGCACAACCTGAGGTTTGGAGCATACATGTTCCTCACCAGTCTCGGCATTGGCCCTTTCGTCGCCTCATATGCCACGTCAGTGGCCATGGCATCCGCCGCTCGCGATGAACGCCTGAACCAGTTCCGCAAGGACATGAAGCCGGACAGGCTGGTCCAGATGACCGCCGACCAGATGCCATCACCTCTCTTGAAGCGCCAGCGTCAGCAAACTGCGGAAGCCATCAGGCGACTCGAAGAGTCGCTGGCCTCGATAGGCACGGATGAGCAAGTGGCCCAGAGAGTTCAACCTCAGAACTTGGAGATGTTTCTTGAAAAGACTCGGGAAGTAAGACCGCAATATCGGAAGAAGATTGAAGAGTATCGAAAGATACTGGCCCACATTGATGCAGTCCTCGAAAAGAGGGGCGAAGGCGGTAGCGCTGGGGACGACGGGTCAGCCCAGAACAGGGACTACGAGACACTTTCTGCTTCGAGCTCTACAGGAGACTACAGTTTACCATCGGAGCCCAACTACTCTTCTCCGACAAGCTACTCAAGAGATCCGCCATCTTCCGAAGGCCGGTCAGGATGGGGCTCGGGTCAGCAGAGCTCGTCTCCCCAGCGAAGCAGCAGCAGCAGCAGACCTTCAGACGACCTGGACTACGACGACGCATCGCCTCTTTCACCCGCCGCGAGGTCCCAAGCATCATCTCCCCCTAGCACCGGCTCAGCATGGGACCGTTTGAGACAAGCCTCGAGACAGCCCCCGCGATCTTCTGGAAATGCCGACCAAAGCCAACAGGGCGAAGCCAAGGGTGCCGATTACTATGCCTATGACGCCGCTGACAAAGAGAGGAATGCGGAGAAGGATAAGGCCCAGGCCGAGTTTGATGCGATGCTCGATCGGGAAAGAAGGGGTAACGCGGGGCAGGGCAGCGAACGGAATAGCCGATGGTGATATGTACTACTATTGTATGTAATGGCGAGATTGTTACGGTCAGGACTAGGAGTGATTGTTGCAACGTCAGACTTGTATACTTGTATGAATATCAACTGAATTCAAGCTTGTACCGTTTCCTGAGGCTCCATCAGGCCACAACTATGCCAGAGGAAGGAGGTATACCATTGACTCAAAGACGTCGAATTATCACCAAGGCCCATGTCGTGGCGGGGAATGTCCTCGTTTGAATTGCCCCGCTCCCATGGGTCACGAGTTTGAGTCTCGTGAAAAATAACTAGCATCGTTACACCTGAGGAATAGGGAGTATGAGTCGTCTGGTGATTTTCGCTGAGCTTTTGCATTTTCCATCCCCCTTTGTCTATCTATATATCTATGGCCGACTGACTTCTCTATTCCTATGAGCCTTTTTTTCCTTTTCTTGTGTTCAATGATCTATTTCCCTCCTGCGATGGTCGGGGGAAGAGTGGGACAGAGGGAACGCGGGATGGGCCATGGGGCGATGCAGAGTAGTTACTGCTGTTGCGGGCTAACTGTTCTAAACGACGGTGAAGGTACTGCAGCCAATATCATGAAGCGAACGGTGCTTGGTGGTCATTGTATATCTGTGTGAACTGACTGTATTCTAAACTCTGTCCGAGTCCTATCTATGGCCCGGTCATATCAAAACTATGCGGATATTTCTCTTTTCAACTATGGCTGATTCTTTTGCCTCAACTTTTCCCCCTTCCATGTGTTCTTTTGCTAACCCCTTTTCTCTCAACAATCGAAACTCCCTAAAAGTCTTCCTTTCCTCTGTTTTCAAGTCCCTCAAAACGTGAAATGCGTCGGCCGCCAAAAACTCGGGTCCCATCGATGCCACGCCGCCGTCTTGGGCGGAGTCTTACTCCACCACTCCCGAAACTGCGGCGCGCCAACCTCGTCCCCGAACCGCTGCGCAAGCCTCGGCATAAACGTACTCATCGACATCCCCGGCGTCAACAACCCGTCGTCCGTCTCGGCGAAACTGAAATGCGACGCCCGCGCCCTCCAGCCCCTCTTCGCCGCCGCCGAGGTCACGCAGGCCGCGACCTCGTCCTGCTCCGCCTCCCCCGGGACGGTGGTGGAGAACTCGGCCACGGCACCCGCGAGACCGACGTAGAACGAGTCCGAGACATCGGAGGCTTTCGCCAGGGAAAACACACGGCTCGTCGACGAGCGCGTCGCGTCGCGGAAGGGCATCACGTGGAAGCGGTAGTTGGGGCGGTAGTAATCCCGCCGTGCGTACTCGTGCCAGACGCAGGCCCGTCCGCGCGGGTGATCGCACCCGACGCCGCGCATGCTCAGGGAGCGGCTGCTAGTGCCCCTCAAAGGATCCGGGAACGGCGTGCCGGACCAGCACGGCAGGGCGGCGGAGTGGTGGTATGATTTTGCCCAGCGGAAGTCGAATACTTTGAGAGCCTCGAGCTCGTTGCTGCCCGCGACGAAGTGGTCCGAGCCGTAGGTTAGCAGGGACGAGTGCGTCTCAAAGGGCTGGTACATGTCGCGGTAGAGAACGTCGTGGGCGGACGGGGTGCGGATGTCGAGGAGGCGGATGGTGCCGTCGTCCCAGGCGCTGAGGAGGAGGTTTGTGTGGCCTGCTGGGCCTGGGTTGACGGGTTGGATGGCGCGGACGGTCTGTTTCTTGTCCGTGTCAATGCCGCGGGATGCGAGGAGGGAGTGGTTCTTGGAGGCGAGGTTGGGGGTGAAGCCTGAGGGGGTTACGGTGAGGTAGCGGATCGGGTCTGCGTCGTTGGAGAGCGCGCAGATGATGGTGTCGTTGTTGAGGGCCTTGGCCGAGTGGATGAACTGCTTCCTGCCCCCCTGGCCTGGAACGTCGAAAGTCTGCGAGTCGAGCGGGAGGGTGGCCCCGGTTTCGTCTGCGTCCAAGGAGAAGAGACTGACGGTGGCGCGGTTGCCCGCGATCACTGACGTCTGATTCGGCAGGGTATCAATGGATCCGATAGACGTCCACGTAGTAGCTTCGAGACCTCCAGTAGGCGTAGGAATCTTGAAAGTCGAAAGGGCCTTGCCAGCGCTACCAGGAGCCGCCGAGACAAGCTGTAAGTCTCCATTGGCCCTGCCGACGAGGATGCCCAGCTTCCCGTTGGGCTCAGTCAAATGAATGGCGGTGACATCGCCCACGCCCGCTTCGTAGCCGTTGGTCTTGCCCTCCATACGGAACCAGGCGTCCGACTCGCCGCGACTGTTGTGAGGCCTGAATCTGCCGACGATATCCTCACCGGCTCCCCACGCCGCGAGCTCCCAGCTCTTGTCAAAGACCAGGCGAGCGTCGATGACGGGGTGAAAGGGACGGCCGGTGTTGGTGAAGCCCGCGAAGTAATTGCCATCACGGCGGCGGTCGTCCGTGTAGGCGGTGGTCTGGAAGGCCTTCATGTCCCATGCGCGGGCTTGGCGGGTAAGGTTGTTTGCCAGCTCGTCCCATTTGGGGGCAGTCTTGCCTAATGGCAGGGAGTGGAGGGGAAAGCAGGTCCTGACGAAGGTGCGCCAGCCGTCCTCGCTGAGAATGGAGTGCAGGTGCTTACACGACGATGCCAGGCGGGCTACGTCGCGGGCGGTACTGAGATGGCAGACGATCTCCAACACGATGTCGTCTAGGAGTTGGTCAAACATTTTGTTCTGGGTTTTAAGAGTCTTTTCTGAAGACCCTGTTTATTTGGTTTGATGGTTGGTATCTGAGTGGCATGGAAGTGTAAGGGGAATGTCAATTGAGATATGACGTGAGGAACTGGGTTGTGGGGGAGGGTGGTTTGGTGTGAGATATCCGTACTGACGAGTGAGATGTGTGGTATGTGATTGATGTGAAAGGTAAGAAGGGAGTTGACAAAGTCTTTTAGCTAGTGTGGGTAATTCTGTGAAGCAACTTGTAAAAAAAAACCTAGTGCCAGACCATGTCTCCTTGTGTAGATATACCAAAAGTCTTTCACGTTCCAAATTCGGGGATGGCAATAACCAAAACCTATTGAAAGAGTTGCAAGAGATTAGTTGACGTTGAAGCTGTGAGCCAGTCGTGCCAGTCCACAAATGGATACAAAAGAGTCACAATAACCAGGCACCGTGCAGTGGCAGCCTGGAGTCAGGCCCAAGCAGGATTGGCGGGTTTGTCTATGACACAGAGCACCCCGTTAGATGCATACGAGGCGGCTACCGAGTATCCGTAAGGATGCTATATATGTATATATATATATACATATGCGTAAAGCAAGCTGGAGGCGTGTGCTTAGAGCAGATCGCCCATCTGCCTACACCCCTTGGCTGCGCCGCCTGGTCCGTGTTTCCGAGACACTCAGTGACAAATGTGCAGATGTACAGATAACCCCGCTGTTAGTGCAGGTCAATGACAACTCAGAGCAACTCCAAGATAACGCCGGCGAGGGGAGTGATAAGGCCTACGATAACCACCACTTAGACTTCGTCTATAGAGGCTATGAGTCGGGCATAGGGCGTACTTGTCACTCGAGGTCCAGGGGCCAAATATCTGGTTGAACGTCGCTGTTGTTTTAAAATCTGAGGTTGACTGAGTTCAACACCCTGTCTCAATAAACGATTGAGTCCAGCTTCCTGACTTACACGAAATATCCACACCTGGGTCACCAACTCAACCAAGAAATCGAGTCATCATCTGATTTAGCTCTCACTAGCGAGCTTCCCTCAGCAAACATGGGCTTCAACTTGATACCCGTCACAATAGCAAGCATCGCAGCGTGGCTCCTCTACACCCTCATCCTCCACCCTCTCTTCCTCTCCCCTCTATCCAAGATCCCAGCCCCACACTGGTCATGTCACATCTCCCCCCTCTGGATCCTATACACGCGGAAATACAACCGCCAGAACCACACCCTCCACGAAGCGCACCTCAAGCTCGGTCCCGTCGTGCGCATCGGCCCCAACGAGCTCAGTGTCGACGGCTACGACGCCCTCAAGACGGTGTACCAGGGCGGCTTCGAGAAGGACCAGTGGTACTCCATCTTTGACAACTACGGGTGAGTCTACTATCGATTATCATGAGATATCTCCAGGGCAGATTTTCTCTCTAACAACTCAAAGTGTCCCCAACATGTTCTCAACACTCTCTTCAAAACCTCACTCCCTCCGCAAACGCATGGTCTCAAACGCCTATGCCAAATCCTTCATCCACGCCTCGGAGCCCGCAAAAGCCCAAGCCCGTGCCATCCTCTTCGGCCGACTACTGCCCTTACTATCCGCCTCATCATCATCCAGACAAACCAAGAGCACCAACACCAAGGGCACCAACACCAACCCCGGAGCCGACCCCGGAGCCGGCATCGACGTCTTCTCCACCTTCCTCGCCTCCACAATGGACTTCATCACAGCCTACACCTTCGGCCTCCGCAACAGCACAGACTTCCTCCGCCAAAAACCCTACAGGGACCACTGGCTCCAACTCTACCTCGCGCGCGCAAGCCACGGCTTCTGGCCACAGGAAACCCCGCGGCTGAACGCGCTCGCTTCCCGCTTGGGTATGGGATGGTGGAAGCTGTACCCCTCGTGGGTGGACGACGCCAACGCCGAGATATGGGCGTGGAACTGGCGGCTGTGCGAGGGGGCGAGGGAGTATGTCCGTACTCATCAGAAGGGAGGGAGTGCCAACACTGCCACTGCTACTGCAAAAGAAGAGGGACAAGGGAAAAGAGACGTGGCGGACGAACCAGTCGTCCTCTGCGCAATGGAATCCGGCATCGAAAAGGAACGCCTCGCAAACGGGCAAAACTCCATCCTCTACCCAACCACGATCCTCCAAAAAGACGCGTCCGTGGCCTCGGAAATCCTAGACCAAGTCCTAGCAGGCCAAGAGACGGCGGGGATAGCACTCACCTACCTCGCCTGGCACCTCTCCAAATCCCCCTCCCTCCAACAGAATCTCCGCCAAGAACTACTTTCATTATCACCAGACCTCAAAATGCCAGCAGCAGCAGCAACAGCAGCAAATTCCACAACTCTGCCTCTACCCCCCTCCCTCCCAGACCCAAAACAAATCGACGCCCTCCCCCTCCTCCATGCAGTCATAATGGAAACCCTCCGCCTCCACGCACCCATCCCCGGCCCGGAACCCCGCCGGACTCCACACCTCCCGTCGCCCTGCCGCCTCGGCGACTTCCCGGTCCCAGGCGGCGTCCGCGTCGCGGCGCTGGGGTACACACTCCACCGCAACGCAGCCGTGTTCCCCGACCCAGAGGTCTGGGACCACACCCGCTGGCTCGCCTCACACACCGGCGAGGCGCAAAGAAGAGAGATGCTGCGCTACTTTTGGGCTTTTGGGAGCGGTGGGAGGATGTGCGTTGGGTCTAATTTTGCAATGAATGGTACAACTTACAACCCCCCCCCTTTAAAATGAACTTCCAGAGGGAATCGCTTTACTGACTTTTGAACCCGCTCTCTCAGAAATGAAGCTCATAGCCGCAGCAATCTGGACGAATTTCACGACGCATGTGGTTGATGATGAGGGTATCGAGCAGGATGACACGTACACGGCACGACCCAAAGGCGAGCGCTTGATTCTGCGGTTTGAACATGTAGAGTAACATGTTGTAACGGTTCAGACTTGACCAAGCGCGCCGAATCGCTGGCCGATTCAAAGGGGGTGCTACTAATACCATGAGGTTGTCGAACAAGGTCCGGCTTTCCTCCCGTCGTTGATCTTCACGGGCCAGCTCCAAACGTTGATCCCGGTCAAGGTAGGGAGGTTCCATGGCGAAGTTGACGATTCTCGAATCCGTGGAGAACAACAAGGTGATGGTGACAAAGCAACGCAAATGTGAGCTTGTTGCTTGGTCCGAGCTTCAGAGCCTTTGATATTTGATATATACATAAAAGTACATGTTGGTATAAATCATCCACAACAAACCGCATAAATGTTGAGATAATCGTTTCGACACTCATCAGGGGCAACGCTTTCACCAGGCACAATGGTGGACAGGAACGAAACCCCAGCATTTGAGGACACAATACAAAGTGACACCTAATTGACTAGCTCTTCTAACGCTATGCTAAATATACGCATTACCTGAGTTCAGATGCCCAGACTCGGCACTCTGGCAACATCTTGCAAAAAACACTTCCTTCCACAGACTACAATCACTAGCGCGCAAACTTCATTTTTCACATCACACTTTTAAAACAACTCACCCTTGACAAACACGGCGTCTTTATAACATTTGGGTCTCTGAGCTGCGCAAGGCAGTGCCTCATCCCGTATGTCGACCATGTTGTCTTGAATCAGAGGCTGTGCTTAGTCTTGCATCATTACCTTTGGAAACACTCGATAACATCACGCACCAGGCTATGTATGTGAACATCCACAAGCCGACGCGTAAGGCGAGGCTGTCCTTCCATCGGAAAGAGACAACAAACGCAGTATCAAATTGCTACCTATTCAACAAAACGCTGTAGAGCCGTACGGCAAAGTTAGGGAACGTAGAAATATAGTTGGATGACCCGAAAACCATCAACCGAAGAAGAAAACCTTTCTGCGAACAGAATGCCGATCTAGTGCTTTTGCTTCTGCATCATGACACACCAAACACTCACTCTCGCACCGGCCAGCCTGCGACAGTTCATGCCGCTTCGCCTCCGGTTTGCTTCACATCGACAGGTTCAATGTCGGCACTCTTCTCAAGAGTCGCCTCGACCACAGGCTCGCCAGCCGCGTTGGCGGCCAGGGTCTTGACAACCTCTTTCGGTGCTTCAGCTTCATCTTCAGCTTCCACAGGCTTGGAAGTTTCGGCCTCAGCTACTTCTACACTCTTTGCAGCAGGTTCCGCAGTGGCGGGCACCTCGGACGCTTCTTCCTCGGCCGAGACGTCAGGCTTGATCTCCTTCGTCTCTTCGGGTGTGCTGGCGACCTCGGGAATTGCCTCCTTGGTGGGCTCCTCTTTGGAACCTTGGTCGACCTCCAGGACACCACTGTCGCCAATGCTCCAGCAGATTCTGAGAGGGGAGAATGAGAGCGTGGGTCCGGACTTGGTCTCAGCAGCCGCCGGAGCTGGGCTCTTGGCCGCCGGAGCCCTACGCTGGGGGCCACGAGCACGACCTTTCCTAGCATCAGAGAGCGGAGCCTTCTCCTTCTCCTCGGCAACATCCGCCGCGGGGGATTCCTCCTTCTTCGGGGCTGTAGGTCCCAGCTGGAGGCGCTTGTTAAGGTCAGACAGGAACCCGGCCTGGAGCGCTGCGATCTTGCCTCCGGCAGGTTTGCCGGGAATAGCCGGCTTCTGTTTAGGGACAGAGTCCTGCTCCTTGGAGTCAACGCCGGAAGGAAGGGTCTTGGTAGGACGAGCAGGAATCTGAGGTTTTGACTTCTCCGAGACAGCCGGCTTGGTCTTATCCTCACTTGTCGAGTTCTGTTTTCTTGGCCGTTCAGGAATGGAGGGTGGCTCCGCAGTGGCACTCGACTCTGAACCCTTCTTCTGCGGGCGTGCTGGCACAAACGGCTTTTCCACTGGAGACTCGTCCCTCGGCTCCGGTGTGTCCACTATAGCCTCGTGCATGGCGCTTTCTGGTGTATCCTCCCAGACGTCGCGACTGGGAAACCGGTTCGACATGGCTGGGCGGGCCTCTTCCTTGGTCTTCTGGAGTGCGGCAGGCACTGGCTTCATCTGCTTCGCATCCACCCCACGACCTTCCTGCTCTGCGAGTTCTTCTTGTCTGCGGGCAAACTCCAAGGCGGGGTTCTCTGTGGGAAGTTCGGAACGGCGTCTGGAGGAGGGGCGTTCTGATTCTGTGGGTTCCGGGGTCGAGACTTCGGCGGTGTAGTTGACGCTGTCGGGGGCGTCTTCCCAGACGTCCTTGCTTGGGAACTTGTGACGAGGCTTGGAGCTGGATGCCTCGGCCTCGGACTTCTTGGCCTCCGGGCGCTCCTCGTCGAAGAGTGGCTCGTACTCTTCAACGTCCTCAAGTGGGGTGTGTACCAGATCGGTTTGTGAGTGGTTGTTGTAGATACTGGTGGGTCGACTTGTGGGACGGTTCGCCTTCTCCATCTCAAAGGCACTGCCGGAGCGTTCTGGTGGGGGCTCAACAGCGGGCTGGAGATCATACGGATGTACGTCACCTCCACGCTCGTCTTCGGCCAGAATTGGTGCATTGTACTTGTTCTCATGTCCGGGGTCATGCGACACAAAACTCCTGCGGCGGTTGTGAGATTCGTCGACGTGGACAGTGCCGTCGTCGCTTCCGGTGGCATTGTCCGGGGAAGACACAGAGACATGAGGATGAGAATCCCTCATGGGACTTTGAGGAGATTTGATACGCTGGAGTTCAGGGGAGGAGATGCGAGAGGTGTACTCTGCAGAAGCCTGGTATCCAACTTCCTCGCTGGGGGTGCCAACATATGAGGCGGAGGTTCCTGATCAGATTTAGCACGTGTCTCTATGCTCGTGATTTTGTTTGAACGACTTACCCATGCCAGAACCACGGCTGTGAGTCTCTTTGACAATCTTGTTCAGATCCGTGCTGCTCATGGCGTAGTCGTTTTGACGGTCATGGAGAGAAGGCTTGCAGTCCTTCTTGAGGGTATCCGGGTGCTTGTCGTACCAAGCCTTCTCAAACTTGTCGGTGGGCATAGCTGAGCTGTGGCCGTGAAGACCGTAGCTGCCAGGAGGGATTTCATTGAAACCGCGCGAACTATGCTTGCGGGAGTGGTTTCGCGGAGTTCCCGACCTGAGGCTCTCAGGGGCAGCGCCAGAGCCTGGCGCAGGAGACGGAGCCTGGACATCGCCGAGATTGGGGTTCATGGGAACACGTTGGCCAATCTCGGGGATGCCATGTTCATCGTCGCCGAAGGCACTTTCTGATTTTTGAGACAGGGCGCTGGAGCTTGCCTTCTTCCTGAGGCTGCTAGGTCTAGTGTCGTCACTGCTGGGCTTTCCAATGCCATAGGAGGCAGCCTTATCCGAATCGGTACGGGTCACTGCCATGACTCTCTGTTTGGCACTCTGGGCCGGAACAGTGGGCTTGGGAGCGTGAAGCTTGAGATCTTCCGCAGCGAAGCGGGTGTGCTCAGGAGATGACGGTGCCCTGGGAGGCGGCTTGACAAATCCATCGTTGATGGCATCGTATTCGTTGCCCTCTTCACCAACCGAAGGCATAGACACGCTGCCGGGGCGGTGATGGATAGGATCGTGCGAAGAGAGGAAGCCATTGCTCGGCGAGGAACGAGTAGCCTTGGGACTCTTGGAGAAGGGGCTCTCGTTCAATGGAGAGGGCGCATAGCGATCGGGATTCGGGGAGACGGAGCGGTCGAAACGCTTGATGGGACGAGGAGGTATCTTGGGGAGAGACGAAGTATTGGTGTTCTCCTCCTTCTCCTGACTTCTAGAAGGTCGGGGAGGGATTGCCGGTTGTTGTACTGATGCGGTAGACATTTTAACTGTGTGGTATGTTCGAATATGGTTAAAATAAAAAAAGGAGAAACAGAATGGCCCGCAGTCGAGTTGAGGATAATCGAGGGGGGTTGCTGCTGTGTGCGTTGTAGTCGGGGTTGAGCGAGGTTTTGATCTACACGCGACTAGGAGGACGCAAGATTGTAATGGGGAACCTGGAGAGCGCAGAAGTACGCAATTAGCACATGGTTTCGAGGCGGTGTGTCAAAGCAAAGAGCAGAACGTGCTACCTTCCCCCTTGCTCGCGCCGTTGGTGTGTATCCGTAGCCGCCTTGTGTTCTAGTGTGGGTGGCAGCTGAGGGCGAGATAACGCGGAAGACTGGAGAAAGTGGGATAAGGTGAATTTGACAAGCAAGACAAGCCAGGCAGGGGCGGGGGAGACAAGACAAGCACCGGATGGACGGCCGGAAGAATGCAGACTTGCTGGGAACAGCAGGTTTGAGTTTTGACGCTCAATCTTTGTTCATAAGGTAAGGTACTCCGTAAGTGATTTCCCGATGATAAGACGGTGTCATATCACGAGTAAGGTCAGGTACACGAGGGAGGCTTGAACCACAGGCAGGTAAAAGCCTCTAGAGCTCTCCATTGCAGGAGAGTCGCGCACACCGAAAGATGGTAATAGCTGAGCCCGCCCCGGCTGAAAAGCACAAGGTGGGCCTGCCCTGTCCTTCCCCAACACCTGCATCAAGCAGGGCGATGGTTATGGCTGTGGTGGTGGTGGTGTGCTGACAATGTGCAGCAAAGCATTGGACGACCGCTTGGAGGAGGGTGAGGGATGTGCAATGGGCGGAGCAGGAGCAGTAGCGGTAGCAGTAAATCAAGCTCAGCAAACCGGGGAAGGGTTGTTGCCGTATGGTGCGGGAGAGGGAAGGGAAATCGGGTGGGAAACCAACAATGACGACTGCGGTCTGGAATGGGGAGCCCACTTACAGCTAAAGGTGAGAGATAAGAGATAAATAAGGTGGAATTTGAGGTTGTGGGAGTGAAACCTCAGGGAGCTGTTTCGTGATGCTGTTGTGGAATTGGTGTTATTGTAACACACGAGAGGTAAAGAGTAAGTGGAAGATGGTGAGAGAGTTGATTTGTAGGCTGTGTAAACGCATTGAACAGATGATATGACGAGCAATCCAGGGGGGGGGCAAAGCAAG